GATTGCTGGTTTCGTGGTGTCCGGATTGCTGGTTTCGTGGTGTCCGGAGATAAATCTGAAGTAGCTTTTTTTGTTCACTAACCTGCTCTCGGTGAAGTGAAGTATCAGAATGGAGGGCTACATGGATGCCAACAGCTCGAATTTTCTTCACGTTATGTCGCGTACAAAACATGGTTTCCAGCGTCATTAGCACAAGCTTGCATAAAACCTACCCTGGGTGCCGGCGTGCGCCACCATGTGGCGCACGCGCGAGAGGCGGTAAAAAAAAGCCGGCCGGCACACAGGTCCGCTCACGTAAAAACGTCGCCTTCCGTTATGGGTTAAGGGTGACTGCTCCCCACAAACACTATAGAGGCTGCGGAAACATAGGAACTGTGAGTTCAAAGCTCTACAGCATTCAGTAGCTGTTCACTTGATCAGCTTTCGCTATTATTAACTAAAGGCTATAAACTCTCACTATCACATAAAACACAAACTTCATTAGGCTCAACAAAAACAGTACATAAGGATTATCACAGAAGAATGCCTTTGATGCGTGCTTTTTCAGATACATAGATTCTTTCGGGAACTGAACTTTCAATTTCTCATTCGTTTCGCGACTGTTATCGCAAATACTACTTTGCTTGCGGACATTCTTGGGGGATCAGAGCCGACCAATTTACTGACGAGTTTATCCCAGAGCTTATCACGAAGGTTGTCTTATGAAAGTTACTAGATTGTCTTGATAAGTTCAAGTTAGAACAGGATTAACCATTACTATGGAATTAATTCAGGTCCCCCTCCTGAAGGCGGTTAACGAACTGACTTCGGTTGCTCGAATGATCAAATTCCAGTGTTCGGATAGTCCCACCCCATATCTGTGTCAAGGCCTTGTTTGAGAGGTGATAATACGGCAAAGTTGGTGTGCTCGATCGCACCTATATCGACCCTTTTGATCTAACGACGAAGAGCGCATAGAGTCGACGCGCAGAAGCTATCTACGATACGCAGTCTTTTGAACGGGCCCAAATTTCCTTGAGGTCAGTCACATTTCATTCATAGTTCCAGTACTCGTTTGTATTTTCCTCACGATGCCATTTTGCTCTTTCGTTTCTAATTTGTGTTTCCCTCACGGTGCCATTTTGCTATTCCGTTTCTAATTTGTGTTTTTCTGACGATGTCATTTTGCTGTTCCGTTTTTAGTTACTCGATAGATTCCTGATTCGATTGCCGCATCGTTATCTATCGCCATGACGTTGATAATTGTTGGCTGATAATTTAAATGGATAGAATTGCGACGTGAACATCGATGATGTGCCTCACAACGTTGCCAGAATCTGTTACTTTGTTTTGCAGCCTCTGTCTATTGCTGGTCTTAGGCTGGTCTCAGATTCCGCGATCCGTCAGAGGTTTCGCTTTTCGCGAGCTTTTTTTGGCGCGACGAGTTGCAGAAACACTTGTTTCATGTTCATTGTTTCAAATGTTTGAACGAGGCTCTAACAATTTTCGATTCGAAATACTGCTTCATGAAACGGAATCCTCGCTCGACAACGCCACAAAGAGAATTAAGAAAACCGAAAGTATGGTGTTCGACAAACTAGTGAAACCATAGACTAGTATTGCCAAGCCGATAACTCAACTCGTCCAGACGATGAACGAAAAGATTGACGACTTACACAAACTGGTGGAGACGAACACGCAAAAAATCCTTGAAAAAATCGACAACGATTTGACATTTTATTACAAGCCAGCTGAACCAGAACAGAAGAACTGCTGACCCGCCGCTCCAAGAAGAAAAAGACGAAAACGAGAAGCCGAAGAAAAGAGGCCAAGAAGAGCGGAGCCTATCCAAAAAGGAAAACGTCACCGATCCCGCGTCGAGTTGAGATAGCCATAAGTGAACTGAGCAGTCTAGCCATCTGTAGTCAACGTAAAATTCGGCGTCATCGCGCCAATCCTATTACTCGCCGTGCCCTTCTGGTCAGTGCCGTGGCAACGTCACATACGCGACTATTGCCTATCGTTACAGCGACTGGAACAAAGGCTGGATGAAACACGGTCGCTGAAGCTTTGTAAATTCCTACAGCTCATTCATCCCGGTTTCGGCCCAGGCTCGACGTCCTGCGAGTATTGCCATATGAACAACCACAACACCGCTCTCTGCTATCTACCCGAAGAACGCACAAATCTTCAGACCATCATAGACGACTGGCGCTTTCACCACGACCAAGGGCACGAGTAAAGCGACCTGAGCACCAAAAACGCCCGAGGGGAGTGTGCTCGATATATCGACCCTTTTGATCTAACGACGAAGAGCGCATAGAGTCGACGCGCAAAAACTATCTACGATACGCAGTCTTTTTAATGGGCCCAAATTTCCTTGAAGGTCGTTCACATTTCATCCATGGTTTCAGTACTCGTTTGTGTTCTCCTCACGATGTCCATTTTGCTATTCCGTTTCTAATTTGTATTTTTCTCACGATATCATTTTGCTATTCCGTTTTTAGTTACTCGATAGATTCCTGATTCGATTGTCACATCGTTGTGTATCGCCATGACGTTGATAACTGTTACCTCCGAATTGAAATGAACTTGAATTCTCTTGCATCTCACTCTTAATTGTGTTGCATATTCCCTAACGTATAAATTGATGAGTTGGGACCTTGTTCTCATCATGAGTATTGCTAGCGTGAATATTTATGATGTTTTCTCACATTCGAAGTTTGAATAAAGTCTAATTACCCAAGTAGGAGGTTGTTCTGATCGGTGGATTACCCGTGCCATATCGGTCTTGTTGGTATTCATGCTGTGTCATTTCCGAATCGATCTGTGAGGATATTCAGCGACCTGTGAAGTCCCGCGTGGCAGTTTTCTACCTGGTATACGACTACTATCAACACGCAAGTCTTGATTATCCACCATAGTTGGGTGATGTGCAAAAAAAACTGCATCCTGAAGGAATCACTCCCGACCCTCTTTCCGAGAATTACCCAACGAGTGATCGACTCTTTTCTATGTTTCCAATCCTGAGGCGAACTAAAGTCAGTGAAGAATGACCCATTGGGGAGATAGATAAGAGTTTTTCTCAAAGGATTGGTGGCTTGGTGTTTATCGGGGCTAGTGGATGGATTTGGTTCAAAGAGATGGGTTTCTTCGGAAGATACTGTGTGTCGCTGAATAGAACTCGACCAAATAACTGGTTAGCTGCGTAGCGAACCTGGAAAAGAACTACTTCTGTTTTATAAAGCATGGTTTCAGAGTAATATTTGGTTGGGCTTTTCCCTTCCCACTCATCTACTCAACTAGAACGGGACATTTGCAGGTTTGCACGGCATGCACGACCAATACTCCCTGAGAGGTCAAAAGGCTTGCCGGCGGTTTCGCTGCTTTTCCTGAGGAGGTACCATCTCTAAAGCCGGTGGACATTTAGGAGTGGCGGGGAGGGCTCTTTAGAAGAGCCCACCAATGACAAGGTCTTAGAAGTCCCGCCCGCATGCAAATCGCTGCTTTCAGAGACAAGTTATTGACACTGACCTCTTTGCTCATTACAAGATAGACGACGGAGTTTGTGCCACAGTTCATTATGAGCACGACAGCAGTAGCGGCATATAATTGTGGTATTTTAATACCGATCACGGGATACAAGAAGAATGTTAACCAGACGATACTGTAGGTAAGAAACATCACAATAAATTGTATAAAATATCTGAAAATAATAGATGACACTAAAACTAATTAGGAGCGTTAAAAAATACTCTTCTCATCCGATGCGGAAGTAGAACTTCAGTTTCGATCATTCCAAAGGACGGAACAACATGGGATCGCGTTCGTTTCGCCTATCATAATACTAAAACCTGACTTCTAAGCATTCAGTGAAGCGAACAGTTCGACTCAATTCGGGATCTGGGGTAGTAAAGTGCTTTAAGTAGTGATTAAATGTGATTTTCCCCCACTGACAAGAAATAAGGTAAGTGGAGATATCGGCGTGACTCTAGCTGAAAGCGACAGCTTCGTCATACTTTCCGCAAGACTTGCGCCACTCGGACTTGAACCCTAGATGATAGTTCTCATAGCCGAGATTTTGCCAGGGTACCAGGGATGACTTGACAGGAACGTTACTAACAGAAGTTGTTTGCAAATAACAAACGTTCCCATTGAGCCACTAGCAATTCCTTACGATCGAAACAGTGAGCATAAGTTATAGGTTTCAAGTATCCTACTTACTAGAAAGCGCTTCGTCTGTCGTCTGTATGTCTGTCACGAAATTCCCTAGCTCCTCGGGATCCGCCTGGAGAGACCGGGTCAAGTGTGGGATGGGTGGGCAAGGTCTCAGAAGTACAAAACACACATCAGCTAAGCGGAGCCCCGCCCACAGTGGGCGTGGCGTGCGTCGAAATGAAGGTACTGACGACCAAGATTTCAATTAGAAAACAGCCTCGAAACTGGAGAAAATGGGTAAAGGTGTGCATTGGTAAGCCAGATCGAATTAGGGAGACCCACCCCCGGTGGGCGGGGCGTTCTCTAAAAAAGCAGTGCTTTATGAAAAATTTCATAACTCGGTTGGGAGAAAGCCTACAGAGCAGAAAACAATTTGGTGTAAGGGAGCAATGTCTAAGGTGTTTCCTGCATACATGACGTGGGCGGAGGCCCGCCCACAATGGGCGGGGCGCGCTCTGAAGTGTACAGCATTTTCTACAAGTCCTCATAGTTCGGTTCCGAGAATCCTTGGAGAGCGGTGAATAGATGGATAGAGATCAGATATGGAAGGGAGGCTAAATATAAATGATGGGCACAGCTGCAAAGGTGACGGAGCTTGCTTTCAAAGCTATAACTCAGTTCTAAAAATTTCCGAAAAATGGAAGAAAAGTGGATAAAGGTTGGAGATGGAAAACAACTGCTGTTGGTGAGTGGGACACACACCGAAGTAAGTGGAGCTTTCCACGAGAATTCATAGCTCGGTCGAGAAATCTTGAGGACCGGGAAAAGGGGCTAAAGGCCGACAAAGGAAAGAATGCACTGCTGAAATGGCGGGCGGCGGTGCGTGGCGCAATAGCGGAGGAGTTCTGCCAAGAAATCTATAAACTCGGTTGCCAATATGTCAGAAAACCTGGGGGTAGAGATCGGTAAGAAAGGAGGCGAACTGCTATCGGTCGCTGGGCATGCAACAAAATTATAACTTGGTTCCGGAAAGTTTTAGAGATCGGAAAAAGTGGGCTAGGGGAAGGAAGAGAATTTCCAAAGGTGTGTGGAGCATGCACCAAAAAAGCGGGTTTCCCGATCGGATCAGAGATTGGGTAAAAAGTGGGAGAGGTTGGCAAGGAAGAAAAAGATAGGTGGGACATGCAAAGAAATAGGCGGAGTTTACCACGAGGTTTATAAATCGGTCCAGAGGCAGTCCGAGACCGGGAAAAGCGTACAATTGGCAGAAGGAAAAGTCAGGAAGGAAGGGAGAAGAAGGGTAGGTCAAAAGCCATCGGTCCCTATCGCTGCAGAACTGCGTTGCGGCGCCAACTGGTAAGTTTTTACGTAAACAGCTCGACCTACCTCAGCTCTCTTATTCCTGCTCTTGTTCCAGTTGCTAAGATATGTTTGAAAAACTGAAAACACATCTTTAGAATAATGACGATATTCTGAAGATTATCAGGGAACGATAGTGGAACCACTTCGCCCTCCAAAGTTATTATTTTTATAATCTTTCATTAAACTTACAACAATATACGAGACACCGGAGTAGATGGATGTCATGAAGAAAAAAGGCAAATCAATCCATTTCATTGCAAAATTATAGGGCTGACCAGATATTGCCAAGTACGAGTAGCTGTAGATTTTTGGATCGGGAACAATTCTGTAATAAATCAGTGAAGGGCAACCAATGCAGCGAAATCTTACATTTCATGTACACTTCACAAGCTGGCGAATTTATCCTTTAGTACGATTTATGAGGTAAGCTATAAGCCACTCATAGAGCGAGCGCCCTCACTCTGATGTCCGAATCTACCCGTGCCCGTCAAGTATCCAAATGCCTCAATGATGGATCAGTCTTAACCAAGGTGAGCCAATGTCGATGATTCCCGGCCCAGTGACTGAGGCCAGACGATGTACAGGTTAATCACTAAATCCTCTCAAACAAGTCTACAGTCAACCACTTAATCCTGGAATGATGAAGACCTAGGTTGGTCTGAAAGGCGAATGGCCAAGGATTTGATCTCCTCACCGCGTGTGCGCGATAAGTAACGCCACTTGCCGCTACACCACTTCCGCCCTACGGCCACTTTGTTTTCCGTTGTAAAAATAACAATAATAATAATCCGTGGTAATAAAAAAAGCCTCTATACTCAAGTGGAATTTAATCACACTTTGCTCAGCTCAAAGCGTGTGCTCCCAACTTAGAATTGAAGAGCGCATTTCATTTCATAAGAAAATCTTCATAGTGGCCATCTACGTGGACGGCATCAGAAAAATTTGCCCCGGAAACATGGTGCTCTGGTCGAGCTCAATGGGGTTCTCGACTGATCGTGTACCGTTACGACGGGTTCCGAAGGGCGGGTTCCGAGGGGTTTGCATAGTTAGAGCTAATGTCCCTAGGAAACTATCGTTGAATCGATCCAAGAAATTATGTAAGAGCTTCAGGCTGAAGCAGTTACTGTAGGCCTCCCTGAGCTCGACGACGGTGACAGATGACGTCATATTCTGAAGACGGTGAGGGTAGTGAAGGAGGGCCTGCGTGTACTTATAGAGGGACATTTAGGGAATATTTTGCTGAGGAACTTCCGTCAACGACGGCAATCTCTGCGAAAAAAAAAGGCCGAAGTGCGACATGGGCAAAATGTCTTTTTTTTTGCCCCCCCCCCTGTATACTTACCTAAAAACTAGAGAATTTCTCCAATTCAATAAGTTGTCATTAAGGTAGTAGTTTCCAGAAAAGCGATAGTACTTCAACTTGTAGACCTTACCTGCAACAAGGCAAAATGAACTGCGAGTAGGTGATCATCCCCACAGTGGCAATACAACAAACACCAATCAAGACCAGCACGCGCTTGTGAGAGAGGAACGTTCGACTCGGACAGTAAACCACAGTGAGCCTAAAAGGGTTTACTTGATGAGCAGCTAAAACGTTAGCCAACGAAATTGAAAAATCCAAATATGCATGAATGTGGGTGTTGAGATGCGCCATGAATTCGAGTTCAGTTTCAAATCAGTTGCTGATTATCAAACTGTCGTTGACTACAATCAAGTGAAAAATATTCCACTGATTGAAGAGGATCAGGCCTGATATCATCTCTTCCAAACTAGTTTACGTTTCATGTCCCAAAGCTCCCTGTTTTGAATGCCACCTAATTGATACCAGGCTCTTTGGAAGAGTTTTAGAAGTAATCTTTTCGAATACATGGCGCATTCTAAGCGTTCTGAATGAGAGTACAAAGTGTTGCCGTATAAATTCTCAACTCACCTATTCGTAGCCAAGAGAATCTGAACGAAAGACCCCAAATAGCAGAGGCCAAGGAACAGGGCGCCTATGGCCATAACCCCTATTGAGTCTTGTCCTTTGAAGAAGTAGCTCTAAAAAATTTCATGAAAATTCTCCGAAGGTATTAGGATATTCAACAAACTCACTCCTCTGAGAAACGATGGTCCTATGTAAATCACGTGAAGCAGAACTTGGCAGGTTTCGCATAGGATACCGAACCCTGTTAAGACATAAACAGCATGGTCCTTGCCCCAAAAAAGTTGACCTGAACAAAGCTGATTCAATGCTCCAGTGAATCAAATGTGGGCCTTTCAAACAGCACCGAGTTTTGCCGACGTGAATGCAATCTTCAAACTATGAACTGAAGGCCAGCGCTATACCCCCCGTGGCAACCGCCACACAACTCACCATTCATGGTTTTCTAAGAAAATCCATTTTTTTAGTTGGTATTAGCAAAATGTCAAATTTTGCATATTTCCCGGTGGCTAAATATTCAATATTTAGCTTCGCACCATGCGCTCAATTTAACACGCCCAATTAAAGAAAAAGGCATATTTTCTCCCGACTCAAACTGATCCAATCACAACTTGCCTACTCTCAAGCGTGTGCTCCCCACATAAACATGAAGAACGCAACTTCCATTTCCCAAAAAAAAAAAACAAAAAATCCACCCTAAATGCCTTTACGTGGACAGATCAAAAAAGTTTGCCTCGAAACGTCGCTACTCAGGTCGCTAGATGGGTCTCCGACCTCCGAGTCGTGTACCTTTACGACGGGTTCCGAAGGGCGGGTTCCGAGGGGGTTTGCATAGTTAGAGCTAATGTCCATAGGAAACTATCCCACGTTGAATCGATCCAAGAATTTATGTAAGAGCTTTAGGCTGAAACAGTTACTGTAGGCCTCCCTGGCTCGATGACAAATGCCGTCGTATTCTGTAGCGTGAGTAGTGAAGATGGCCTACGATGTACTATCAAAGGCGGTATTACGCGAATAGTTTTTTTTTTTGAGAATCCTCCCGTCAACGCCGGCAAATCTCTCGAAGACAAGTCCCCGAGCCCCTGCGACCCACCCCGTCATAAATGTCTTTTTTGGCTCCCTCTGTTTGTACGGTGAGTCGAAGTCCAGCACTCGTTGATAGAAGAGGTTGAGTTCCGTTCACTAAGGAACAGGAAGGGAGGAGGGATTACATTCGGTAGAATCCGCAGTGAATTTTTCAAAAAACACGCTCGAGCCTACTGATAATGAAATCTAGAATTTAGCGTCAAATTCCCCAGTAAAAACCAAATTTTTTTTTTTTTTTACGTTCTTTTCAAACCATGGCCTTAACCATCATGACTGCAAATTCTAAAATTCGTGCGTCTATTAGATGACTGTCTACTTCTGAACATCCTGCTCACCTCTTATCATGCAATGAACACGAAAATATTCAACGCTAGGACGATCCATAACTCCAAGTTGAAGAAAAAGCCAATAACTAAACGCAGAACATCCAGCATCTGAAATTATGATCAACTCCACCAATAAAACCATAAAGTCATCACTGTCACGGCAAATGCGGCTAATGCGTGTCGTGAGAGGCTGGATGAGCACTGGTTTTGACTTGCACAAAATGAGGGTAAGCGGCGATATTTGCCACAGCACTAAGCCCGCGATATTATGGCCACAGCAGTACACCAACCCCACTTTTTTTTACTGTGTCTTATACAAAAGGAATTTTTCATATATAAAAAAGGAATAGGAAGAGATTTTGTACTTGACATATGCAGGTCATATAGTAGCTAACCAATAAACTCGAATGTAATCCTCTGACGCTATGTTGTTGTATTAGATGGCATTCGGTAATGGTAAGGGTCCAGACATCTCACAATGGTTCCTCTTTATGATTGATCTTTACATGGCACGTCTCAGCCACTCTAATCCTCACCTTTATACTACCTCTAAGACAGGGATTATAGTTGGCAAATAGGTAGAGCGTCAACATCAACATCGCTGTCTACAATGGTGGTACTGTGACAGCACTATGAGCAAGGGGTAATGATGTGAAGTTTGTTCCCAAAAAGTTCTTCTGGGACGCGTGTTATACCACCTGCCAAACTGTTGTTAACGTTACCGAGGCGCCCTTTCAATAGCACTGGTAACCGTGGAGTGCAAGAATTTCTGATGATGAACGTGGAACCGCTTTCTATAGGCACCTAGAGCCTAACTATGAAGCTCTGAAGAAAGTTAAGCAGTGAGGCTGACAGCTCCCTGCCGGGTGCATTCCTTGATTACGCCGCAGCCGTTGAACCGCGCAGGACCGGGCTCGCTGACAGAAAATGGACGGGGGGGACAAAATAATGCCCTTTGGAGAGGCCAGGCTGACTGCCCGTTAACGCCGCGCTTAAAATTCCTCCGTACCGACTTTATTGCTTGCCCAATTTTCCAAACCTGCAGGTCTGTGTACAAGCACGTGTATACGGAAAGAAATGTCGCACACTTGTTTGATTCGTCAAGTGGTAGTAGCGCCTGCGGCGCCTACGTGGTTCTGATCAGTCGGGATCAAATACTGAATAAGCTTAAGGGTTTGCAACCTTCGAGTTATTCCCTTTTTGTCTACAACGTCCTTTCATCGCAGCACTCAGAACGGCGTCATAAGTGCAGTGGTAACGTGCCGCTCATGTGTGCCTTTGCACCGTTCGAACCCTTTGCGACCGGAGCCGTGTACGGTTTGCAGGTACACGTGTGGTTTACGCATCGCCAAAATATGTAAATCAGGGATGGCTACAATAAGTTGTCTCCCCATCCTGCCGCTGCAAGGTTGCCCTGCCACCGTTGTGAGTACAGAAAATTTGTCCAACACCCCTCTGTATTCCTTACCTGTGTCAATACAAACCAAAAAAAAAAAAGAAGAAACGCACCAACAAAAAAGGGGACCAACCTCTTCCAATGCTGTGATCGAAGTGTTCTGGTGCAGCTGCAAAAAGCTCTAGCTTTGATCCTGGTCATCCAGGGTTCTATAGTCCGGGAATGGCGCTAATTTTTGCAGTGTCTGGCGAGGTGCGGTTTGAAAGAAGCGGGTTTTAAGTCCGTTGTTTGCCGACGTCAATTGTCCTCGTCAATGGTGAAAAACCCCATTTGATTGCCAGTCTAGGGAACTTTACCACTGCGCTTGATCCACAGAAAATTGTCATGAATAATGTTTCAGTTGGAGGTAAATTATGCGCTACCTTCTATGAGCAAAACTATATGTCAAAATGGTTCTAGTTTGAATGCCTACCTATTTTCTTAGCTCAGCGTTCAAAAAGCTCATCGCCAGCTAAACTCCATAGGTAGTTCCATGATGCGGAAGTGCGCTGATGTGTTAAGACCTATTTCAGGACTAAGTTTGGGATAGGTCTTCGCTATCTGGACTCACCTTCCGAGCTGTTCTAGCAGAAAAGGCATACAACGTTGCATTTTAGCGATGGCTAAAGTGCGCCTAACCAAGCCCAATGTCTCTAAGACGTGCCCCCACCTTTTTTAGAATCGTTTTTTCGTATATATCAGAGCTTGCATGGAAACATGGAACTACGCTTCCCTTTCCTGAAGCGCTTGTGAACGCGAGAGATGAATGAAACATGGTCCCGGCTCAACTCCCCGTGGTCAAATTTTTGATTTTCAATTGATGCGTGCAGAATGTCGCAAGCTGGTACCCGCAACTTATAATAGACTCCATGTAATCATCAAAACCATCAGAAACCTATCTCAGAAGTTTGCCAAGGACTTTTGCAAAGAGGTGTGACGCTCCAAGTTTTGCTAGCCCCTTTTTGCATTCAGATGGTGGCTCATGAAAAATGGACCACAGCTCTCCGTCCATGCATGTGCTCCCAAAAATGCTATTAGGTCGTGAAGAAAGTTCTTGCGTTTTTAGACCTTGATTTTCAAAATTGCCATTATCGTCGCTCATTCGACACCTTTTTCGACCGAGAGTAAAGAACTGTTAGAATCCGCCAAACCTCTCTCAATGACCTCTTGAATTGCTCGGTCGGTACTACTGGAGCTCTAAAGACGATGAACCCGTCGCCATCGCAAAGTTATACGCTTAGCAAAGAATCAGTTCTTTGTCGTGCGTCGCAAATGATCAAAAAGTCAGGTCGTTTTCATGGCATGAAACAAGCTAGAACGCGCGAACGACCCTTCAAAATGGTGAGCTGTCGCGGCACGCCCTATTTGAATTTTTGGACTTTCCAGCTCTTCCCGTACAACAAGAAAACACAATGCAAGTGCGATCAGTTTAGGAGGAACCCTCTCAATAGATTGTGCAAACGTGCTTCAACCAGAACGTTCGACTAATCGTTGGCGTTGTCCAATCTCCGACCACCACCCTCACAATCTTTAGGGCTCTCGCTATTCTTACAAAAGCTTTTTGAACAATTGCTTCAGACCATATTTATTGCGAATCTCAGCCAAGTGCATCTATAATATCTTGACCTGCTTCTACTGGCCTGCTTTGAGCTAGAAAAAGGAAATCATGCAAATTTGCTCTTGGAGTATGCCGTATTCAAGGCTTCAAAAAATGACAACTAAATAATAAGGAACCTAGTAGCTAGCCTAGCTGTTAGATAGAACAAGAAAAGCTCTTCAAAACCACATACAGCTCATTGGCAGCTTGCTTGAATTCGTAACAAAATAAAGCGTTCAAAAACGAAACACCGAAAAGCGCAAGAACTTTCTTCACGACCTAATAAAAACGTTTCTGAAAAGCCGTAAGCACCTTCCTGGTGAGGCCGCTGCCACTGCAGATTTCATAATCACGGTCCGCGATACAAAGGTCGGAACAATAATAGCTGTCTGTGTCTCTCACGTCCTCTATGAATTCTTGTCTGTACTTTTGCCAGGACGCCGAGTGGCTTCCAAGCACGTACCCTCTTTTTATCGTCTACTCACCTACTCACCTACTCCCCCAATCACCTGCTCGCTAATCGACTGTACGGTCGCCAACTATGAACGCTTCATTACATTTTCCAGAATTTACTGAAGGCACAGTTTTCTCAGACAGACCTTTCCAATACTCCAGCATGGATTTGCTTTTTCTCTG